AATGGACAGACAAATTCACGGAGAGCATTTCTTGGAAAGGCTGGGGATGGGAAGGAATGGACGAAATGGAGGGAGCCATACCAGGGGCGGTGAGGAGCTGGTATTCTGAGATCAAGAACAACTATGATTACCAATCAGGTCGAGGATCTAGCGTTATCGGACATTTCCAAGCAGTGGTGTGGAAAGGAGAGACAAAGCTAGGCTGTGGGCTCAACATTAAACCTGAAGATGGGACTTATGTCACTGCACATTACGCTCCGCCTTCTCATACGAGCATGAACAAGGAGAAACTTGCACCGGAAAATATAGAACCACGAAAACAACCAGGTGAAATACACCACAATGTGTTTCTGCTATTTGGGTTTGTTTTATTATCGAGTGTTGAATTATAAGAGTGTCGTTACTAATATTTAGACAGACTGTCTCAAAATGTCAGCTAAAACTAATTTGTACTAAAGCGACCATGTATGTGGAATGTTTCGCTCGAAACGTCGATTTACATCTTGGGAATCAAGAAAGGATACTTGTTTTCTCATACATGATGTATATAAACTGATACAACAGTTTACAGCAGCAATGATCATGCAGAGCGGCCAAATAAAACACACGATAATTGAATTAATAACTATAAATGAATCAATTATAAAACGGTATTGATGGGTTAAATGAATGTAGGTGATGCCCGATGTTCATGTTTTTTCAATTAATTGTTCTTAATTCTTATTGTCATTGCTTTTTATCACCAACAACACTGTCCTTTATCTCTCAGCGGCAGGTTGTGACGTTCTATCGGGCGACCGTGAGCCATGCAGCCCTGATCTCAAGGCACCGCTCGTAAACCCGGGAAGTTGTCTTCCTGCCGAGGCCTGTTGCTATGACGACATGTTTATGGGAGAGGCGTCAATGAAATTCTATGACAGAAATCGACGTATTTGGTGTTTTAAGAAGCACAGGTAGAAAAAGCTTATTGAACGACTGGGATTTAATAAAATGATTCAAAATAACCAAATCTTCATTGTTTTACTTTCTTGAAATTCCACTCTCCTTGTAGGTAATAATGTTGTATAAAGCGAGATAGCAAACGAATCGGATATTTGAAATGACAAGGCCGCTGACTTGTTATGTCTGCATGGCTCACGGTCGCCAGATAGAGCATCACAGCCTCCCACTGAGAGATAAAGGACAGTGTTGTTGGTGATAAAAAGTTAGGTTTGATTTGATTGCTCCTATCAGGACAAAAGTATCGATCGAGCTGTTCTACTCTCCGATCTGATACCTAACTCAGTGTTTGTGCCTGTAGTATTTTCATTCCAGTCCTAAACGTAATGGGCGATTTAATTGTTATAGAGATCAGTCGTCGCCTATGAATTTCTCTAACGATCAATTATTCGTTTCGTCCTTGATGAGCTCTCAATGTTTGTAAATATCCTTAGTGGTTGACAAACCATTTTTGCCCAATTCTCTGTGAAGTATGTCCACGACCGGTGTGCTGACCGACGGTACAGCGAGATACTATCCATCGAACCAGTTGTAGAAAAGATTGTGAACCACCAGTATAGACTTTCTGCTTCATCTCCTTCTTGTTCCGACTTCGTATTGATCTCATGATGATTTGGTTGACGGCTTGAGCAGTCACGTGATTTCTATCAGGAGACAAAGCCAAGTTCTGTGCTTTGTATGCGTAGCCTTGAGTTATATTTCCTACGACGTAACGTACATCTGCTCCTGCTTTTACACTTTGTCCCAGAGCGTTCCTGTTTCCGCTTAAGGACGTTCGCGCGAAAACTTTCCAACATTGATTTTTTTCTGAGACTTTTACCACTGTAAGATGATGAGTTAGTCATGTCAGAAATGTAAAAAAAAGAAAAAAAAAAATGGGGGGGCACCGCCTTCGTTTTTCTTTCTTTCTTTTCTTTTCTTTTTTATAATTTGCAATAACATAAGGGAATACATAACAATTACGAACAGTACACTATTTAGACTACTTTCAGCACTAGTTCTATTTACATTATATTGCTCTAATAATTTACACTACTTAAATTACAATATCTACACGACTTACAGTACACTACTAACAACTACCGTGACGACAAGGGACAAAGAAAAACAAGACGAAAAATAGATAAAAACTGATTAGTAAAAAGAGTTTAACCCCAGAGTCAAGTCAAAAGAAGTGGCTAGAGGATTGTGGCCTACCAGTAAATCACAACATAAATCGGACGCTGCCTATGTTTTAGCTTAGCAGTGCACAAAGAGCGCTAAGCTGATAGAGTTTCAGTTTAAATTCTTACATAGACGTGTACCAACCAATAACTTCTTATTTAGAATAGGTCTACACAGTGATGAAAATTGCAGTTTTTGTCACACCTCCTCTGAGTCAATAATTCATCTTTTTTGGTCATGGCGCCGAACCTCTCACTTTTGGAATAAACTTACTGAATGGCTGAAAAACTTAAATTTACTTCCTAGAGATTATGCTTTGACAAATATTACTGCTCTGGGTCTGAGGCCAGATATCTCTCAATTTTCGCTTCTTATCAATTACTGCTTTCTCTTAGCACGATGTCACATATGGCTCGCTAAAACAAAAGATGATCATCCAAATCTTACGCATTTCACATGCACACTAAAATCACAATATGAAATAGAAACAAAAAGTGGAGACACAAAGAAATGGAAACCTCTTACAGGATATATGAGGATTTAATTAATTTTTTAGCGCATATTTTCTATTCCTATCTGTAGTTATCTCCTACCCATTAGTCTATTTCCAATTTCTTGTCGGGTGCATAACTCATTTTACCTATAATGCACCACATACCTTTGGTCTGTTTTTGATGTTTCTATAGTACAACCTCAAGCTGCAATGATAATTACCGACTTTGTTTTGGAGAGAACATGCCCGGAAGAACATCCTCAATCTGAAAAAAAAAAAAAAAAA